GACCCCAAAGAAAAAAAATCCACTTAGCTAAAGCCAGGAAAACGGGGTGGCCAGTATTAGGGCCGCCTCCGCCAATCCATATTTCCAATCCATCGGTTTCGAAATACATTATCCAAGTGTTCCCTGACATCTCTACTACAATCGATGCACTAATAGGACCGGATGTTATAGATGTTACCATCACGCAAAGAATTGTTTATGACTGGTTCACTTGAAACTGTAAGTGGAACTTGTGCAGCATTTGACTTTATTCTACTCAAGCGATCTTGTTCTAGAATATCATCAGCAGTAGCAATAATATTATAGTACCTGTCCTCGCACTCTACTCGTTCGTCGACCTGTGTATCTGAAGTATCATTCAATTCTAATTTATCTTGCACATAATTAAAATCCTCCAACAACAATTTTGCCCTGTCTAGGCGCGACAATATTTCAGTAATTTTATTTAAATTTTCAGGCCTATTTAAAAAAGAACCTTGTTAATTGTGATTTAATAATTCTCCTTCGACTTATTAGTGTTTTATTTTCCTCTTCCAAATTGATGTTAATTAGTAGGTATACCTGGATTCAGAAATTCTTTCAAATTAATATAAAATGTGAAGTTTCAATTGATCGAAGTGCACATGTTAACAGGAACGACTCAGCGGCTTTCCTTTGGGGCTTGCTTCTTCGAATCACTTGGTATAGCTTCAATAACTTTGCGTAATGTCTCAATTGGTTCCTCGCAAGTCAAATGCCAATTTTGTTTGGACTGTTCTTCACTTTAAAAGCCGCACGCTGGCAATAAGACCTTGTGTTGTGGCCAGTAGCTTCTTTCATCAACATGAGGTATTAATAAATATCTGGCTTGAAGGAGCAACTGTTGAGTAAGGTGGGTAAGAAACGATATCTTACATACACCCTTTTGTATTCGTTCCTAATATTTAATGGACCAACTTTGTTTTTGGGGTTTTTAACAGCAATTATATTTTTGACAATGACAATCTTGTTTGTAGTTTTTTTTTAACCGGTCCTTTGTTTTCGTCGCCATGAAGCCATTGCTTGATATACTGGACAGAATTCATAAGCCGTACCGAATTGTAGAACTTGAGAACAAATCGTTATCAAAAAATATATTTTCGAAACGAAATATATGAGTCTCTCAGTTCCCTTTTCGTTATTAGTAAGAATTTAAGTCTATTGCAAAAATATTTTGTTCTTCAAGTAACATTTACTTACTTCCCATTCAACCTATTTATCTTCTGCTCAAACAAAATCATTGTTCGTTTAATGAGCAAGCAAAAGTATTAAAAAAATAGTTAATAAATTATTCACCTTCTAAGCATCTTCGAAAAATTACCGACCTATTGAATCAGGTGGGCGTAAATACCCAGATCGCCACTGAAAAAAAATTTCCGTTTTCTTCAAGTAAAGAAATTCTAGAATTCGTTTGTTATTTTATTACAAACTGCTTGTTGGGTATTTCGCATCAAAAATGTTTTTAATGCGAAATGCATTTGAAGACAGAATTTCAAATGTTATTTTATATTTTTTTAAATTAAATTACATTTTTTTTAACAAGTCATGTTGGTGCCGCGCCTCCTAAAAGTTACAGCTAAATTAACATTCATAATCACATCACATAATTTTAACCACGCGAACAAGACAAAGATTATCAATTTGCCATTGGAAAAGACAATAATGCTTTAAATTTAAATTTTTAGATTTTATATGTATATTTTTTAATTTTGTTAACATTTTTTCACGTATTATTTGTAGAATTACATCTATTTTTGGTTATTTGTTTAAATTTCACTGGTCAAATACATTTTAAAGTAGTAACTAACTTTTTTTAAGAAAGCATTTGTCGTGCAATAGTTGCGACTTGTCAGTTTATGAGATTTTAATCGGCGCGCCCACTAGAGGGTTCAAAAACTATAAAGAAATCTAAGATTTTCAGACCCTGGGTTTTGGAATTGTGAGCTTTCTCGGACTTGCTAATGGGACGTTCTTCTGATAGAATGATGTAATAAATCACATCTTGTATGACCTTCGGAAGCAGGTAACATCACTTCTTTAATATGTTTGAATGTTTCCGTTTCACACCTCATGTAAGCCTTTTCGGGACATTGTTCTCGTTAGCTCCAATCGAGGGTGAAAACCCTTTTGACTGCTGGAGTTGGCGAGACCCAGCTTGTACACCACGCTGCTAATTTCAACACTCTGTATAATGAAGACAGAAGAAACCCATTTTTAGGCACGTTTAAAACTACTTTAAACTACTTTTTGAACCCAGTAAAACCCTAGTCAAATTGATTTTCAAAATGATCTTTTTTGACTTAAATACATTTCCTAACCCTTTTAATAAATGATTGTCGTATTGAAAGTCTTCTGCAACATTTTAAATTATATGAAACAATTTTTCCCTGTTGATAATGGGGTTGTTATTTGCCTTTCGTCATTCGAAAATAAATTAATGTGAAAGTATAACTTAAATCATTTCTGTTAATACTTTCTGCTAGCACTGTTAGCACACGGAGATCAAACTGACTGGATGATAAACGTGGTCCATTGTCTACTTTAAAAATGTTAATTTACGACAATATTGGGATCTTAATTGAGATAGTTCAAAAATTAACTTGATGCTTCAATGTGAAACATCTCGAAAACCGTGAAAGATATCAACTTCGAACCAGTAGGTACGCATTTTTTGTTTCGAAAATATAGGATAATCAAATATTTCCCATAAAAAAGCAATATATTAAAACTCAAAAAACTTCTGTTGTATCAAATTGCTCCTGACTATTGCAGCTATTGCCCTCTAGAAACTA